GAGGCTGGAGAAGGAGTCTGGACGCAAGCCTGGCAGGACAGTCGCGGCGCGCGGCTTCAGGGTCCTCCAGTCCAAGGCTGGCGACGAACACAGTGCTGGGCGGGGCCGCGGGCCCTGGAGGGGCGGGGTGGCGGGTCCGTGTTGTCGTCCCCTTGGAGATGGGGCTGTCCCACCAGTCTCCTGGGGCTGCGGGCTGCCGAGCTGGCTCTCGCTGTTCACTGCACGGTCCCAAGAGGAGGCAGCCGCCACCGTACTGGGCCTCTCTGCCACTTCCCCGAGGTAAAGCCCTGGGCCTCTTGGCCGCGTTCTTTGCTTGGGGCCTCTCAGGGCACTAAGTTGGGGACGCCTTAGTTTCCCCTTGCAGCGTGGGAAAGACCCTGTGCAGGGCGGTGGCGGGGCGCTGCGCCCTCCCAGGACGGCTTTGCACACACTTCGCAGGTCAGATTTGAGCTGGGCGCTGGCGAGCAAAGGCTAACCTCCTCCAGAGCACTCGCGGAAATGAAGTAAAAAGTTCTTGAGCACTTTGGAAAACACTGATTTTCATAGGACTCCAAACTGGCACTCCAGCTCCCTTCCTCCTGGGGCCTATTCTCACCCTTTTTCCTACTTTGGGGTCCAAAAATGTGGAGAAGGGGATGGAGGCACAGTGATGGGGAAATGCAGAGAATCTACAGCGAACACAGTTTGTGGTTACAACAACTCTAAGTGTTGATATGATAAAGCTTGATGAATAGGACAAATTAAGCAGGGTACTACTAAATAAATCTTTTTAAAAATACGAAAGTGCTCATTAATAGATGTTACAACAGGTATCAGAACAGAACATCCTGACATCTGTAGTGAAGTTCAATGCAATGAATTTTGGCGTTGTGAAGCCCATTCAATTCATTCAGGTCGTTTAATTGCATTCAAGTCTGTTCTGCAGGAACTTTTTTGCTCCTGGGAACTTCAAAAATGTTTTAAAAACAATAATTTCATTGACAAAGTAGAAGTCAGAGTCTTGAAAGTTCTAGAGCAAGAATATTACTTTTCCGGAATGAGTTTAAATCATGCAGTTACTTCTTGTTTGTTGCAGTTTTCATTTTATAGCTTTAAACTTACAAATCAATGAGCCCATCCAGCATTCAAGAATACCAGCACAAATATGGCATTTCCTACCACCACTAATGCTATCGATGTCCAGATTTTCTCTAAGCATACCATCATTTCCCCTGTTTACTATTTACTTGTGTAATTAGTAAAAACATACTGATTTATGTTCAAAACAGGCCATGTTTTTACATGTCCTGAACATAGGATATCTAACTTAACTGGAGCTGACTTTTCACTTTTGTTTTTCACTGATTACATTCACCTTTCTTGTACTACTTTTTTTGGTACAGGGGATTGAATTCAGGGGCACACAACCACTGAGCCACATCCCCAGCCCTATTTTGTATTTTATTTAGAGACAGGGTCTCACTGAGTTGTTTAGTGTCTCACTTTTTGCTGAGGTAGACTTTGAATTTCCCGTTCTCCAGCCTCAACCTCCTGAGCCGCTGGGATTACAGGCTTGTGCCACCGTACCAGGCAGAAGGCATATTTTAAGGAATTAAGTTTTCGGTAATAAATGAATCATTGCACAACTTGCATGTGGGAATTGTAGAAGTAGGTAAATGTAAGTAACTCTGAACCAAGGAACAAAGTTTAGTTATTAATTCTCTAAGCTACTTTGTGTACCATAATGGAGCAAGACCATCCTAATTTGCATTTCTCCAACTGTGTAACTAATCACACATGAAAACACAGTTCCTGACAACAGGGTTTTTCCCAGTGGTGGTTAACTCTTCGCATGGACTGACTATTGCCCAGCCATCTCATCCTTTAATCTGGCTTTGGTTGTTCTGAGAGAAAAAAGCAATCTTTTTTGCGGGGGTGGGGGGTGTTCTCTACTCCCATACATTTGCTCAATGCAACACATCGTCTCTGTTCAACACAATGTATGATTTCTCCCCACCAATAACAGGTTCTCCAATGGCCCCCAAAGTCCAGTGTTTTGTGCTCAATTCCAACACTGTCTATTTGGAGCTATCATCAGATCCCCCAGGTTGAAGACCCAGCCCCATAAGACATGGTCAGTTTTCCATCACTATAACAGATACAAATCAACCTATAAAGGGAAATAGTTTATTTGGGGCCACAATTTTGGAGGCTCTAGTGCATGAACAGTTGGGCCTTTTGCAAGGTAACACATCCTGGCGAGAGTACATGGTGGAGCAAAACTGCTCACCTCATGGCCAGGCAGCAAAAAAGAGAAAGAGGAAGAGGAGGGGGTTGGGGTCCCACAATCCTCTTTGAGGAAATGTTCCAAGTGACCTAAAGACCTCCCACTAGGCCCTGTCCCAGAAAGTTACATCATTTTTAAGCACCACCAGTAGAATGGCTCTGGGTACCAAGCTTTTGACACAGGGGCTTTGGGGGCTTTTGACACATCAAGACTCAAACTATAGCCGATGCCAATCACAGGTGCCAGGTTAGAACCTGGGCTTCTGACTGACCAGCTATATCAGGTTCCTGTAACCTCCTTCTCAGGTTTGACTAATTTGCTACAGCAGCTCACAGCAGTCTGGGAAATATTTTATGTACATTTATTGTTTAAAGGATATTACCAAGGACACAGATGAATAGCCAGATGAAAGAGATGCACAGAGAAAGGTGTGTGGGAAAGCATGCCACCCTCCAGACACCTCCACGTGTTCAGCAAGCCAAAGTCCCCCTCTGGTTTTTTATGGAAGATTTATTATGTAGGCATGATAGATTACATCATTGGCAATGGATGACTGATACAAACTTCATCCCCTCTTCCTTTCCTGGGTATCAGGGGGTGGAGTTAAAAGTTTCAACCCTCTAATCACATGGTTGGTTGTCCTGACAATAAGCCATATCTTGAGGCAGTTCAGAAGCCCACCAATAATCAATTTATTAGAACAAAAGATGCTCCTATCACCCAGGAAATCCCAAGAGATTTAGGAACTCTTTGTCAGGAACATAGCACAAACCAAATATTAGGACAAAAGATTCTCCCAACACCCTATCCATAAGAGTTTTAGGAGCTCTGTGTTGGGAATCCAGAACAAGGTCTATCTATATAGATTTATTTCTCATTATTTCATAATATTCCAGGTTGTCACACAACAGGCCTCTCCACCACCTGAAGTGCTAACATCAACTGCCAAGTTTCTCATCAATATACCAATTCTTAAGGATAATCAGCCACAAAATAGAAATTGTATCTACAAATTAATCCATAGCAGTCTACTATCCAATTCAAGTTATAGGGAAAATCCAGTATAATTTTAAAATTTGGTAGTCAATTACTACCTATGAGACCCTGGATGGTTTTACTCTTCTGTAAATTCCAGGGTGGGTGTGAGGATTCAATGAGCTAAGTGTATAGGGAAGAGGCTTACTAACAGTGCCAGTCGGACTAGCCTCTCTGGCAAGAATTAAGATGCGAAATACAGTGTTTATTATACCCTCTTCCCCATTTTTAATTTTATTACTAGTATGTTTATTGGATCCCATTACAAATGAGAACAGCTACAGATTGGCGTTTCCTGTTTTATTCCCTTCTTGCAACAAACTTTAGGAACATTTAGGCCTTTTTTTTTTTTTTTATCAGATAGAGATAACAGAGTTACAGTTCAAAGCTGGAAACAGCTGCTAAGTGAAACAGTGAGATGGCACCCAGGACCATTTCCAGTAGTGAGGTGCCACTTTGCATAGGAAAAAGATCATTCTTAAGTGATAACGGAAAAAACTTCATGGTAGAGTATTTTGGCTTTTGGAAAAAGGACACATAGAAAAGATGAAAAGTGAATGAGAATATGATTTTGTATGTACCCTTAGGTTTTGAGTCTCTCTTGGTAGTAGAAGGTATTGGCAGTAAGACATGGTGGAGCATACTTGTAATCCCAGAGGTTTAGGAGGCTGAGGCAGGAGGATCTCGGGTATGAAGCCAGGCTCAGGAACTTCACAAGGCTGTAAGCAATCTAGAGAAGGGGCCGGGCTGAGGATGTGGCTCAGCTCACTGGCTAAACACCCTTGGATTCAATCCCTAATACCCCCCCCCCAAAAAAAAAGAGTAAGAGAAAGAGAGAGAGAGAGAGAGAAGGTATTGGCCACTTATTCGTGACTGCCATGTTGTAAACATAATTCTCAATAATGTTGTGAACTATGCTCCAGAATAAATTCTCATCTCAAATGAACACCTTAAAGTACTTCTCCTTTTTCTACTTTGCAGATGCCATGAAAGAATAACCTGTCAGATCTGTATTTTAATTCAATTCTTAGCACATTTTACCATATAGCTAATTTAGCATTATAATGGAAATTATTCATAGGTTCACACAAGTTGATAAATTTTCAGTTGTCAAATCCTAATAATCAGTGAAGGAATGTTTTCTTATTAGTCACATGATCTTTAGTTCTTGAATTTGGAAAATTGACAGATGCACATTTTAGTCCTTTTTTTCTGCTACAACAAAATAACTGAGGCTGAGTAAGTTATAAAGAACAGAAATTTCTTTTTATCAGTTCTGGGGGCTGGGAAGTTCAAGATCAAAGTGTCTGCCATCTGAGTTGGCACTTGCTGCATTCTCTGGAGGGGAGGAATCTTCTATTCTCATATGATTAAAGACAGATGGGCAAGCAAATTGAATGCTATGTGAAGCCTCTTTCATAAGGGCTTTAATCCCATTCACAAATGGAGGGGAGCCCTTGTAAACTACTCATTTTAGTTGCGATATGAGGTGTCCCCCCTAAAGCTGATGTGTAAGACAGTGCAAGAAAGGCTAGAGGTGAAATATTTGTGTTATGAGAACTTTAACCTAATCAGTGCATTAATCCACTGATATGGATTAACTGGGGATAAGTGTAGGCAGGTAGGGAAGTGGGTCACTAGGATCATGCTTGTGGAGAGTTTATATTTTGTCTTTGGTGAATATCCTGAGCTGCTTTCCATGCATTTCTGCCACGATGTTCTGCCGCACCTAGAGCCCAGAGCAATGGAGTTGGCTGTCTATGGACTGACATCTCTGAAACTGTGACCACCAAATAAACTTTTCCTCCTCTAAAATTGTTCTTGTCAAGTCTTTTGGTCACAGCAATGAAAAAGCTGATCAAAAGAGAAAGTGATATCAGGAGTGGGTCATTGCTGCAGCTAACCTGACCATATGGTTCAGAAGCCTTTGTAGCTGGTTTGTTGGGGGATGTATTTTGGATAGTTTAGAGTTGTAACT